GTGTGTGTGTGTGTGTGTGTGTGTGTGTGTGTGTCAGCGCTGGGCTGCAGTCGGACTCATTCAGCCGTGACTCTGGGCGACTGGAGTGACCCGTTAGATCCTGATGCTGAAACACAGATCATTTATAAAGAGCTGCTGCAGGGCCGAGACAAACTCAGGTGTGTGAGCGTCTTTACCTGATCACTGTGACTCCTGTGATGCTGAAGTACTGTAAACGACCAGCAGGTGTCGCTGCTGTAATGACAGAAATCAAGGAGTAGTCATTATTAAAACATTATTATTATCATTATTATATATTCAGTGCAGTGTAAGTCACATTGGATAAAAGGGTCTGCCAAAAGCATACATGTAAATGTATTATATTATACATTTATATATCCATTGTCTGCGTGAATATCATGAAGAAATGTTTGTCAAATTTATTTCACATTAAAATAATGAGAATTTGAATTTAATATTCCTAGTTGTCACAATGCAAATGCAATGCAATCTTAATTTTGTTCCATCTTAATTATTCTCAAATTAAATTTAATTATCTTTGTGCAAAATATAAATTTTATTGATTGATATATATATATATATATATATAAATTGATAGTTTATTAAATATGACCCAGACATGTTTTGGACCATCATCATGACATTCAAGTTGCTACAGTGATTAATAAAACATTATTATTATTATCATTATTGTTATTAATGTACCTTAAATGCAATGTAAATCACTTTGGATAAAAGCGTCTGCCAAATGCATAAATGTAAATGTATTTTATTATAATTTCTCAATATGCTGGGTGAACGTCATGAAGAAGTGTCATTTTTATTTCACATTAAAGTAATGAGAACATTTGGATTAAATATTTGTAATTAATATGAATTAATATTATTATCAATTGCTACAAAGCAAATGCAATGCAATCTTTATTGCTACAAAATCTGTGTTATTTTAGTATTATTGATATACTGTTATAGTATGTTTTACTACTTTTTAATACTATTTTTTTTATATTTTCAATTTCATTTTAATTAGTTAAAATGTTAGTGATTGTGTTGTGTCTTGTTATTTTTTATTTATTTATTTATTTATTTATTTATTTTTAGGATGTCTACACTGTAAAAAAAAACAATTTGTTGAGTCAACTTTGTAACCCGCTGCCTTAACATTTTTTGTTATCTTAATTTCATGCGTTTTTGAGTTGAAACAACAAGTTCATTCAACTTTCAGCTTGTTGTCTGGACAATTTATAAAAAATAAGTTATGTCCAAAAAAAATTAAATCGCAAAATCTAAAAAAAAAAAATGTTTACAGTGTGTATAGTTTATTTATATACATTTTTGTTTCCATTATGCTTATTTTAGCACTTCCAGATAAACTAAATATTATATTTCAGTTAACGCTTACGTTATTTCAAGTAAACATAAAATAGTTTTTCAAGGTTTAGTTAAAGATGATAACCTTGTTTAAAATTAGGCTTTATTTTCTATTTGCAAAATAATTTTATTTAGTTATTGTTATTTATATTTTATTAAATATGACGCATGTTTTGGACAATCATCATGACATTCGCCATGTTGCTACAGTAATTAATATGAATTAACTACCACAATCATCAAAAAGAGATCCTATATTAGTTATTTTACAGTATGCAATTTCATAGTTACCATAGTAAATGTCTATAAGGAAGAAATCCTCACTGTGCTCCTCTATTGACTCTGCTGATGTTTGGGACACAGGAAGCAGTACCTGGAGACACAGGAAGTTGAGCCAGCAGAACAGGAAGTGCCGCTGAAGGCCAGTCAGCCGTCATCAGGTCAGAGTTCATCTGTAAAGCAGCTCTGAGAGCCACACGCACTCATCCAGCACAGAATGCATGTTAAAGTGTTTCTTCTCTGTCCGTGTGTGTTAGTGTCTGCGCAGAGCCGATCCGAGCGCGCTCGAGCCGTCGCCGCTCGTCTGCTGGACGTCGTGCTGGATTTAGAACGAGCTCATTCGACCTTCCAGAGCCGAGAGCCAGACGAGAGCCGTCCGCTCATCCTGAGCTCATAGAGAGCGTGAGAAACGCTCCAGAGTCACGTTCACCTGCCGTTACTGTTCTTCAGCTTCAGCGCTCAGGAACAAGAACTGAAAAATCGAATTATGCAATGTTTTGGAAGCAAACTTGAGTTATTGATGAATGTCCGTGGAAATGTCAATTTTTACGTATTTGTACTTAGAAGTGTTTTTAACTTGATGCGCTGGGCTGATTTGATCACAGATGCTTCTAAAATCAGCCGTGTGTGTGAGAGTCTTACAGTCTGCATGGCATTACTGTACACTAAACAGCATGAACACATTCACACACCCGGGTTATTAGAGTCAACTACAATCAAAAACAAAAAAACTGACTTGAAGTAAAATAAACATCAACTTAAATAAAATATATTATTTCAGCTAGTTGCCAAAGCAACTTTTCTCATTTTCATTTAGTTTGTAAAATATTAGATTGTTGTAAAAAACTTTTTTTTTTAGTTTTACAAAAAAATATTGTGAAATATTATTACAATTTAAAGTAACGGCTTTCTATTATGATGTATTTCAAAATGTCATTTATTCCTGTGATGCAAAGTTGAATTTTGCTCAAGAAACATTTCTTATTATTATCAATGTTATAAATAGTTTGCTTCATATTTTTGTGGATACGGTATCGTTCAAAAGTCTGGGGTCAGTATGATTTAAAAAAAATAATACTTCTATTCAGTAAAGCTCGCATTAAATTGATCAGAAGTGACAGTAAAGACATTTATAATGTTATAAAAGTGTTTTTACTATTTCAAATAAATGCTGTTCTTTTGGATCTGTGAATCCTGAAAAATAAAATGCATCACTGTTTCCACAAAAATATTGTGCAGCGCAACTGTTTTCAACATTGATAATAATCAGAAATGTTTCTCGAGCAGCAGATCAGAATATTATACTGATTTCTGAAGATCATGTGACACTGAAGACTGGAGTAATGATGCTGAAAATACAGCTGCGCATCACAGAAATATATTACAGTTTAACAGAGATTCACATAGAAAACAGCTTAGATTGTTGTAAAAAACTTTTTTTTTTAGTTTTACAAAAAAATATTGTGAAATATTATTACAATTTAAAGTAACGGCTTTCTATTATGATGTATTTCAAAATGTCATTTATTCCTGTGATGCAAAGTTGAATTTTGCTCAAGAAACATTTCTTATTATTGTCAATGTTATAAATAGTTTGCTTCATATTTTTGTGGATACGGTATCGTTCAAAAGTCTGGGGTCAGTATGATTAAAAAAAAATAATACTTCTATTCAGTAAAGCTCGCATTAAATTGATCAGAAGTGACAGTAAAGACATTTATAATGTTATAAAAGTGTTTTTACTATTTCAAATAAATGCTGTTCTTTTGGATCTGTGAATCCTGAAAAATAAAATGCATCACTGTTTCCACAAAAATATTGTGCAGCGCAACTGTTTTCAACATTGATAATAATCAGAAATGTTTCTCGAGCAGCAGATCAGAATATTATACTGATTTCTGAAGATCATGTGACACTGAAGACTGGAGTAATGATGCTGAAAATACAGCTGCGCATCACAGAAATATATTACAGTTTAACAGAGATTCACATAGAAAACAGCTCTTATAAATTATAATAATATTTCACATTTTTACTGTTTTTACTGTATTTTTGATCAAATAGAGACTTCTTTAAAAAAAACATTACAAATCTGACTTATTTGAAACTTTTTTGCCTCTATTGTACAGACATTTTTAAAGTAAGACACACAACAAAATTACTAAAACCTTAACTGAAATGAAAATGGAAAATACAAAAAACTATAACAGTATCTCAATCATGCTCAAATAACACTGACACACATTATGAAGACTTTTATGGTCACTGGACACTAGAATCTATTTTGTGCAATTTGCTTTCATGCAGGCGAACTAGTTCTTGACCAAATGAACTTGATTAATGTAGTAACTCTAATATTTTTTATATTTGCACACAAATGAATCCCATTACTTACAGAGGATTGCAAATCGCTTTAAACAGCTATTTTATAAACCTCAGCCAGCCACGTTCTAGATTTGCCATTGCTGTGGACAGAAGCAGGTTACACTGAATCCACAGGGCAGCCGTGTCTCACAGCCAATCAGACTGACCGGTGCTCGTGTGTTTGTGTTTGCTTTAGATGTTTCTTTATCACTTCTCTGATGGGTAATTGGTTCTGGTGGTTTTATTTATTTGTGGAGACAGAAGAGGCTTTGCATTGTGCCAAACCGTGTTTTTTGGGTGTGAGCATGTGTGCGCTGGAAAACAGCCGGATAGAGTTGGTTTGTTTTGTTTTTGGCCAAATATGTATTTAAAACACTTGCTTTCTTGTGCAGAAATTTGCTTTTGTTGGTTTAATGCTCATTTTATTTGGACAGAGAGCATCTGCTGTGCCTGTTGACTATAAAAACCCATTTACACCAAACTGCTTGAAACTCTCTGTTCCCTTTCAGTCGGTCACTCTCGACGTCACGTCGGAGGACCGACGAAATTGGGATCTCGCTTAGAGGGACCAATCTACTTCGAGTGTAAACTAAACGAGCCAATGCACATTGGCATGCGATTATTGCATCCAGCTGCTGCTGATCACAGCGTGAGTATAAGTAGGCAGCAGGTGCAGCGCATATGCAGCTTTTCGCTTCGGAGCCGAGCGATCACATCGTTCCGCTCCTGACTACTCTACGGAGAGAAGACTGAACGAGTTCAGCAAGCTCTTGGAGAGCTCTTCGTGTTGTCGGACGGCGCTTCAGCGGTGGTGGTTTCCCGTGTCGAGTGGGTTGCACACATCAGGCTGCACTACCCCCTGATTGTGTTGCAAATGATCATCTCCCCTGTGCGCCTCAGCACGCTAAAAGAGCTTTTTCCCCTAAACCGGTAGAAGGCTGGGTTCCATATGTAAGACCTAAGTGGATCTCATATGTGTAAAGTCCACGGTATAGCCTTGAGCCCGTGTTTCCCCGGCAGACTTCTGCCATTCCAAGAGGGTTCAATCACCTCCATTCTTCCATATGCACCTAAGGGATGTTCATATGTGTATTGCTTCCGAAACCTCCTTTGGGAAGGTTCGAGCTTCCGTAACGCCCCTGTTCCAAGTAGGACGGGTACGTTTTCCTAGTGTTATCCAGTCTTACTCATTGGGTAGTGCCATTGCAGCAGTAGCTGGTCCTCTTGTGAAGAAGCCCTGGCCTACGCCAAAAAATAGGGGCGCAGGTGGCTTCCACAGGACACTGGAAGGGGCAGTAGCTGTGGCCCTTTGGTAGGATCCCAATTTCGTCGGTCCTCCGACGTGACGTCGAGAGTGACCGACTGAAAGGGAACGTCTCGGTTACGTATGTAACCCTCGTTCCCTGAAGGAGGGAACGGAGACGTCACGTCCCGTCGCCACAGCTCCTGTACCACCGCTGAGCGGCCGGGTCACCGGCTCGGCTCCTCAGCGAAAACCTGAATATGCGCTGCACCTGCTGCCTACTTATACTCACACTGTGATCAGCAGCAGCTGGATGCAATAATCGCATGCCAATGTGCATTGGCTCGTTTAGTTTACACTCGAAGTAGATTGGTCCCTCTAAGCGAGATCCCAATTTCGTCGGTCCTCCGACGTGACGTCTCCGTTCCCTCCTTCAGGGAACGAGGGTTACATACGTAACCGAGACGTTTCTTTCTCTCAAACACACAATCAATCCAGTCTGGCCTCAAATAATTAATACGGCATTACATTTATGATTGCATAAAGCTAAATCTGTGCTGTTCATTAAATTTCTCCAGAGCAGGATGACAAAATCGATTTTGATTTGAGAGGAAATATTATTATTACCTGCTAATATTGTGCCACTGGGCGTGAGAATGAAAAACGAAAGAGCAGGAATCAGGTTGTGGATTTCAAGACATGACTCGACAAGCTTCCAGTGACAAGTGTTTTCTCCACGTACGTGAAAATGCTGCACGACACAATCACAAACAGTTTTCATGTGGAAAATACAGCTGCGATATCAACCCGTGAGTGACCACAAATAGAAAACAAACAACTGATGAAACCAACCAACATGAATACACAAATACATATTTTTTCACAATATTTGACACTTCAGATTTTTATTTATAGATCTTTCTTAAAGGGGTCATATGATGCTATTTCAATTGTTCCTTTCTCTTTGGAGTGTTTCAAGCTCTTGGTGCATAAAGAAGATCTGTAAAGTTGCAAAGACTAAAGTCTCAAATCCAAAGAGATATTCTTTATAAAAGTTAAGAGTCAACCACACCTACCTAAAACGTCTCGTTCTAACACGTCCCCACATGTCTACATCACTATGTGGGAAGATTAGCATAATGCCGCCCAAATGTTCACGCAAAGAAAGAAGGCGTAACTTTTATTCTCACTGTAGTATTGTTGCTGCCGCCGCCGCCATGTCGTGAAGACGCTGTGTGCTTCGTTGTGAAAGCGAAACTACTTTGTTTGGTCTTCCAAAAGAGGACACGACTAGAAATCAGGGGTTAAGTTGTATTTACAACACTGTTCCAGAACACTTCAACCCAAATATTCAGATGTGTGCAGCGCATTTTATAGAGGACTGTTTACTGATCCTGGGAGAGTAGACTACAATGCAGACTGTTCTGACTCACAGACTGTAAATATGTTTTTCATATGTAAAGAGTTTTTATATTTTATATATTTAAAGCGAGTTTTTGGGCAGTGTAGAGTAGCACTTGTTGTTTGTCATTTCTCCGATCACAAATGCAGACATGGTTTTATGGTTACGCGGAGCGATGCAATGCAACACGTAAAAAGACAGTATAAGTCATAATAATCAGTAATTATGTCCCCACTGGATGCAACAAATGCCTCGTTTATAATGGGTTTTAATGTTTTTGTCTCGTCGCTCCGGCCGGGACAGGGCAGCACAGTATGGTGAGGGGCGTAACATTTCCGTCACACGCTTGAGGTATTCGGCCAATCAGAACGCACTGGATAGCTGGCCAATCAGAGCACACCTATAATGCCGCCAATAGCAATACATCTCAGACAAAAGAGGAGAAGAAATACGAACAGAAAGACAAAAGTTAAATCAATCTCCCTTTGCTAAAGGAGAGGGTTTATTTCACAGGAAACACAGACATGCAACAAGATCATAACTGATTCATTAAGACACGTATCATAAAAGCCCTTGTATTGTTTCATCAAACAACAATTTGTCTGAAATGTAAAATCAATTCTCTTAATGTACATGTTAATTCTATTGCCTGTAAGAGTCTATGATATGGGGAAC